CCGGCCCCGGCAACGGCCGCTCGGGCTCGGGCTCGGGCGGGGCGCCGGAGGTGACGGCGCTGGCGCCGCTGATGGTCCCCGAGCACGTCCCGCACGTGCCGCTCATCGCCGTCGCCAGGAACCCGGTCTTCCCCCGCTTCATCAAGATCATCGAGGTAACTCTTGCGCGGGGAGCGGCTCCCGCTCCCGTCAGCCCCAGGCAGCTCTGCAGGCCCGGTGTGGGCACCAGGCCGGGGTGGGCGTCGCGCACGCCACGTCGCGCCGGGCGGGGAGGGATTCTGCGGGGGGCGGGCCCCCTGTGGCGGCGCGGCCCCGGCCCGTCCCCCAGCGTGGCCTCTGGCCAGAGATGCGGCCCCCGCGGTGCAGGCCGTCTGGAGGGGGCTCAGCGCGCGGGAGAGCTGGGGCGGGCCTCCTCCTCCAGGCGCTCCCTGCTTGAGCGGGTATTAGGCAGGCGGGGAGGGGAGCATCTTGCGCCTTCTTCAGTCGCAAGGTCATGCTCAGCTCTTCCTGACCCCATGGCACAGCTGGGCCTCCCGTCTCCCACTGTCTCCCAGAGACCTACTCCACACCCACCGCAGCCCTTCCCAGCATCAGGGTCTCTTCCTGTGAATCCTTCCTTCTCATTAGGTGGCCCAAGTACAATGGTACCTCTGCTCACAAACGCCTCGGTTCACGACCAAATCGGGTGGCGAACAGAAATTTCCTAAAAATTTTGCCACAGGTCGTGAACTCTGCATTGGGTGACGATCCTGATCACGCCCGCCTTCCCTGCACGGGAGAGGGCCATGATTGTGCCCGTGTTCCCTGCCCAAGCGCACCCTCCACCCCCCCCGCATGCACGCCTCCCCTCCCCAGCGCGCCTGCGATCACACCTGTTGCTCCCTACCCCCCTGCACAATTGCTGGGGGGGATGGCCACAATCTTTGTTATTCTTTGTCACTTCGCTTCAGATTTTTGTGAGTAAAAATATAGTTGCAGAACGAATTAACCTTATTTACTTTGACCCTTATGGGGAAATTTGACTTGGGTCACGACCAGTTTGGGTCACGACCAGAGTCCTGGAGCGGATTGAGTTCGTGAGCCGAGGTACCACTGTACTTGAGCTTCATCTTCAGTGTCTGTCCTATTAAAGAACGGTCTGGGTTGATTGCTTTAGGATTCATTGATTTAGTCTCCTTGCAGTCCAAGGGACTCTCAGAAGTCTTTTCCAGGACCACAATTCAAAGACCTCAATTCTTCAGTGCTCAGCCTTACGGTCCAACTCTCAGAGCCATACATTACAACTGGGAAAACCAGCAAGGTGATCTCTCTGCTTTTTAGCACGCTGTCTAGATTTGCCATAGCTTTCCTCCCCAGGAGCAAGCGTCCTTTAATTTCTTGGCTGCAGTCCCTGTCTGTGGTGATCTTGGAGCCCAGGAAAATAAAATCTGTCACTACCTCCATTTCTTCCCCATCTATTTGCCAGGAAGTGAGAGGACCAGATGTCATGATCTCAGTTTTCTTAATGTTTCTCAAGCCAACTTTTGCACTCTTCTCCTTCACCCACATCAAGAGGCTCTTCAGTTCCTCTTCCTTTCTGCCATTAGACTGGTATATCTGTGTATCCCGGTGATCTCAATCTTCCAGCTTGAGTTTCATCTACCCTGGCCTTTCACATGATGTGCTCTGCATATAAGTTAAATAAGCAGGGCAACAACATACAGCCTTGCAGTAATCCTTTCCCCATTTTGAACCAATTGGTTGTTGCATGTCCAGTTCTAATTGTTCCTTCATGACCCTCATTCAGGTTTCAAAGGAGACAAATAAGATGGTCTGGTACTCCCACCTCTTTAAGAACTTGTCGCAGTTTTTTGTGATCCACACAGTCAAAGGCTTTAGCATAGTCAGTGAAGCAGAAGTAGATGTTTAACTTTCTCCATAATTCACTGAATGTTGGGAATTTGATCTTTAGTTTCTCTGCCTCCTTGAAACCCAGCTGGCACGTCTGGTAAGTCTCGGTCCACATACTGCTGACGCCAGCTTGTAGAATTTTGAGCATAATCTTGGTAGAGTGTGAAATGAGTGCAATGGTGCGATAGTTTCAACATTCTTTGGCACTGCCTTTTTTTGGTATTGGAACATAAACTGACCTTTTCCAATCCTGCGGCCACTATTGAGTTTTCTAAATTTGCTGGCATATTGAGTGTAGCCCTTTAACTGCATCGTCGTCTAGGATTTTGAGTAGCTCAGCTAGAATATCGTCACCTCCACTAGCTTTGCTGTTGCTAAGGCCCATTTGACTTCAGGATGTCAAGGCTGAGGTAAGGGACCGCCCCATCGTGGTTCTCAGGGACATTAAGGAGAGATGTACTGTGTAGCCTTGCCACCTCTTCTTAATCCCTTCTGCCTCTGCTAAGTCCCTGCCATTTTGGTCCTTCATCATGCCCTTTCATCATTCCATCATGCACGAAATGTTCCCTTGATATCTCCAGTTTTCTCTTTTATTTTTTAAATAAGTTTTATTCTAAATAAACTTAATACAAAGAAAAACTAAAAACAAAATCAACATCAATCGGACTTTCCATTCACCACCAGATGCATCAACAGCTGAGTGTCCTTTTGGCTTTCACCCGGTCGCTTCCTTCTTTCTGGCGCTACTAGTACTAGCCCTCTGCTCTTCCTCAGTAGCGCATTGGACACCTCCTGACCTGAGGGCTCATCTTCCGGCGTCATATCTCTTTGCCTCTTGGTACTGTCCGTAGGGTTTTCATGGCAAGGGTGCTGGAGTGGGCTGCCAGTTCCTTCTCCAGTGGATCGGCTTTTGTCAGAGCTCTCTGCTATGGCCTGTCCGTCTTGGGGGGCCCTGCACGGCAGAGCTCACGGCTTCATTGAGCCACGCAAGCCCCTTCGCCACGACAAGGCCATGATCCACAAAGGAGGGAGGGAAGCATCTTGTGTCTCAGTCTTTTTAACAGCTGTGAGACCCTTTGCTACTGGACAAATTAATTAGTTAATTGTAGTGGGGTGAGAATATCTTTTCTCCTTGCTGAACGCTCCAGAGCCTGCCAGCTGCCATGTGGGGCTGCATTGCTGTCCTACGTGTGGAGCCCCCACGGAGGCAGCCGTTTGGCCCCCGAGTCAGCAGAGCACTGGGCTCTGGAACCCCTTGGCCTCATCCAGCAGGACTCCTCTGCTGTTCCGAGGCAGCTCTCCTCCACTTCTTGCCTGAGCGTAAGCAAAATGGAAAGCTGCTGAACACTGTGGCCTTGCTGCTGTGGGATGGGGCCCCCTTCTTCGAAAGAGCAGCATTCCAAGCTAGGAAGCCAGACGGCGAGGAGGGCAGAGTGGGGCCCAGTACCGAAATGCCAGGTGAATGAGCCCGAGCAGCCGGACTGCCTGGCGGGTTGGAGGCGAGGGGAGACCCCGGGAGGCCCAAGGGAGGGGTGTGCTCGTCGTTAAGCCAGCAGTGGACCAACGAAGTCATGGCGGGCATCCCCATTGCCTGGTCCACACGCTGCTCTACCTGTTGGTGAAGGAGATTTGACTTGATTGCCCTGACATTTCCCTGCGAGTGCTCAGTGCTCCTGTCTGGCCGCTGCCTTCACTGCTCTTGGGGTCTGGGCAGCCCAGGTGCTTGATGCCGGGGCCTAAGTTCTCCTGGGTCTGTTCTTTCATCATTGCAGCTTGGGTAATTTGCTTTGGTTGGGGATATTTCATAGAATTGCATTTGTTTTGGAGGCTGTGTCCCTGAGCCATGCCATAAATCTTGACGCGCGTCTCTTTCTGGGACTCTGTCAGGGGTGTCCTTGGCTGTGCGTCCTTTGCCTGTTTGCAGCTTTGTCAGGGGCTTGCGTGGGTTGCTGGCTTGCTTTTCGCTTCTTTTGCCCCGGGGTTGTCCTTGAAAGGGACTTGTTGGGAAGATGTGAAATGAGGAAAGCCACCTGGAGGTGGAGTCAGGTTCAGCCATCTGGTTCTGGTTCAGCTGTCTTAGTCATCGGAGGCTAATTAGGTTTGAAAACACGTTGCTTGTCATATTGATGTGCCATTCTGTTTCCAGGGGATGGAGGTGCGTTTCCAGGTTTCCAGGCTTATCTGGGGCTTGGCGAGGTGACTCACAAGTCATCTTCCAGGAATCAAATGCTAGCAAGGCTGCGTACGCACCAAGGTTATCTTTGGTAGAAAGACTGCAGATGTGATCCCTTGTCCCATGTCCACTCGGAGGACAGAGCCAAGCAAGGAGAGAACGGAATGTTCCCCAAGGTTCTGGTATTAAGTCCCAGGACCCCGCTGGGCAGCTTACAGAATCAATTAAAACAAAAGATACAAATATGGTGAACATGTCCAAAAGAAGACATTCTAGATTGAGGAAGTGGTTGCCGCATGCACTTTTCTGGGGCAAACAGCAGCAAGAACCCCGGTGCTGTAAATCTTTGTCGGTTTTTCTGCCTGCCAGCCAACCATCAAGGCCTTTGAGACAGTTTTCAGTCATAAAAACCTCACACATCAATATGATGATAATAATACCGAAACATTTTTAAAAAACGTAAAGGTCCTATGCTGTGTTCAGACAGAAAGAATTGCTACAGCTCCTAGCATGCTCCAACCAACCAGCTTAGCATAGCTGGGTGTCCATCCAAACACGCACAGAATTCTACCCAACAATGTTCATGTTATGGAAGAGCTAGCAGGAAAATGAATAATCAGAGCAGCAGGTTCCAGGCGAAATGCCTGCTGCAATAAGGTGTCTTTCCCAGGCATCCAAGTGTGTGCGGCAGGGAGACCACGGAGATCTCCCTGGGAAAGCCCTTCCCTCCACAGAGATGGGTCTTTCCCTGCTTGGCACTCAGAGAAGCCATCAGGCAGTAACATGTGAGAAGAGGCGCCCCCTTCAGCTAGACTAGTCCTGAACTGGCCTGCCAAGCAAGGTCTGACTGGCACCCAGAACTCGCTGCCACCCTCTCTGAGAACATCATGACTGATGCTCCGCACTCGCGCTTCCCTTCTCTTTCCAAAACTACCTTTGGCTTTGTTTCACACATGCGCGCCTTAACTCCTAGGTGAAAAACAAGAAGCTGATCGAGCTCCTCAGGAGGAAGGTCAGCCTGGCCCAGCCGTATGCGGGAGTCTTCCTCAGGAAGGATGACAAGTAAGTCACAGCGCGCTCCAGGGCTTCCCCAGCAGTCACGGCCCGCTGTGTCCCCACGGCCCGCATGAGGACGCCTCCACGCGGCTCTTCTCAGAGCAAAAGGGCAGCTCGCTCTGCTGCAGCTCAGCCGTGAATCACTGTGCTGCCGCCCAAAGTATCATCTTGTGGCCTTACCTAGGTGGCCCTGCAGGGTCCCCACGGATGCCATCATGTCGTGCCCACGGATGCCGTCGCCCTGCCCTGCTGGTGCTTAGCCTGCTGGGTTTCGGTGGCTCTGACTGGGGGCCCACAAGCAGCAAAGCACCAGGCTGCCCTGCTGCCGTTTCCGTTTGAGATCCAGCCTTGCCTCTGGGATGTCGGCTCCCCGGCTCTGCCTTGCGCTTGCCTTCTTGGGCAGTGCACTTTCCTTTTCGACTCGCCACTTTGCCTTCTGGGAGAGGAGGGTTTTGTGGCCAGCCTTCCCAGGTTGTCACTCCATGGCAAGAAGGTAAATTGGGAATCTTGCAAATATTTTAGAGATGATTTTTTTCACCCAGTTACCATTAAATCACGTTTACATGGATGTCCGTAGACTGCACAGTAAGGAATAAATCTGGCGCTTGCCCGCACTGGCATTTTAAAAGCTGCGGCTCCACAACACAACGCTGATTGAACGAACACAGAGTTGGCAACACTTTCTCAAAATTTCAGATGTGCCCACTGACCCCAAAGCCTGGGCCCGCTGCTAGCCAGAGGTCCAAAGCTCACGCAGCAGCTTTGTGGGTGCAGGAATGCCTCCAGCAGCCACAACCCGAATCGGAGGATAATTTTAGCCGTGGTCTCATCTGTCATAATCATGGCTGAGAGCCTGAAACTTAGTCCCTGGCTTGTCAGAGCATTCTTTGTAAATCAGAAGTGTTTGCAAATGACTTCTTCTGTTTTCTGGGACTTCTTGTTGTGTCTTTCTTTGTCATATATCAAAATAAACTTCAAAAAGGGAATGTAGCCAAATCACTGGAGGGTCAGCAAGAGAACTCCTTCAGAAGTGTGTATCCTGTTGGGGCTGGAGGAGTGTTTGGCCCTCTCCCAGCATGGCTCTGAGGGCCAGTTTTCCCTTTGGCAGCAACGAATCAGATGTGGTGGAGAACCTGAATGAGATCTACCAGATGGGGACTTTTGTCCAGATCCATGAGATGCAGGACCTGGGTGACCGCCTGCGGATGATTGTCATGGGCCACCGGAGGTAAACTGATTCCTCGGTCCGTGGCTGCGCCTTTTTATCTGCCTTCGTGCATTGGCTAACTTGAGCAGAATGGCTCGGGAAAGAGGCCATCCCACAGGGAAGGGGAACTGGTATGCTGCTGCTGAGCTGGGGGAGACCTGCCTCTCTGTCTCCTGCAGGCCGAGCACTGGTGTTTGTCATCTCCTGAGAATTAACTTGTCCCAGCTGTTTGGGCCTGTCAGCAGCGGCAGCAGAATGCCGCGTTCTCCCCCGATTTCGGTGACCCTTTTCCAGACAAGGAGCGGAATTCCATGTGGGAGTGTTCTTGGGGGCTGCAGCCCGAGGGGTGGACAGAGCCAAAGCGACTGGCGTACTTTAGCCGAAAGCTGCTTCGGCTAGCGACAGCTCTTTCAGATTAGCAGCCCAGCCGTCTGGAGTGGGGGGAGAGAATGGCGCAAAAGCCTGGGAGACGGCACGGGACCAAGGGGTGTGTTCGGGACACGGCTGCCTTGGGAGCTGCCGCCGTCTGTTCCGTGCGTGTGAGCTGGTCTAGGCTGCGGCGTGGGGAGGCTGATTCAACAAAGAGCCGTGAGCGAGCACCCAGGCACTGGGGCAGCAGCACTGGGCCGCGAGCGAGTGCGGTGCCCGCCACATAGAGCCCCCGGCCCACGCCCTGACCCAGCTGTCGCCCCCGGCCCGGCCCTCCTGACGCATTTCCCCCTTCGTCTTGGGCGCCAGGATCCGGATCAACAGGCAGCTGGATGTGGAGGCCGAGGAGGCTGAGGGCAGGCAGGGCAAGGCCCGCCGGAAGCTGAAGCGGTCCAGGCGAGAGTCGGGGGAGCCTCCGGAGGCCACGGATCCAGCGCCCGAGGTAGTGGTGGAGGCCGCCCCGGCCGAGGTGCTGATGGTGGAGGTGGACAACGTGGCCCATGAGGAGTTCCAGGTCACTGAAGAGGTCAAAGTGAGTGAGGGGGCTTGGGGGGGGGCTGGAAGCAGGGGCTGCTCCTCCTTCCTGCTTCTTTAGCCCAACCTGGTGCTCCTAGGGGGCTCCTCCAGCTTCGTTGCCTGGCTGCTCGAGATCCCCCCAGGGCAGCAGGGGGAGGCAGGCAGGCAGGCGAGGAGGAAACAGGGTTCGTTGCGGGGAGGGGGCTTCCTTTTCCCTCAACGTCGCTTTTCTGATCCTGCCCCCCCGTGCTGGCGTTCCTGTCTGCGGCAGGCCCTGACAGCAGAAATTGTCAAGACGATCCGGGACATCATTGCCCTGAATCCCCTTTACAGGTATGTTGCCAGTCTCGCCCGTGACAGACTTGCCCGCAGCCAGGCCTTCCCTTCCGTCCTCCCCCGTCCGGAGGGCGCTGGGTGGGTGGTTGCCTCGGCGAGCCTGGCCTGGAAGGCGTGTGGGGCGAATGTGGGCCTCGGCCGCCACACTCAGCCCAACGCCTCGCGGCTGCAGGAGGCCACCAGGTCCTTCCCCAGCAGCCCGCCCTGCCCAAGGGCCTCGGGGGCAGGAGACTGGGAGGAGCTGCCACCCGCGGGCCGAGTTTGACCCCCTGCCAGGTTGTGGCCTGTGAGCCATCGGCAGGGGCAGCAGCCGCCTCCTCCCTGGCCCGCGGGGCCTTCAAGGCCTGTCTGGGGAAGCCGGGAGCCACTCCAAAGCAATCCCGTTGGGCACTGCCGGGGAACCATCTGATGTGTTGCGTCTGCCGGGTCCTTCAGAGAGTCGGTGCTCCAGATGATGCAGGCTGGACAGCGGGTGGTCGACAACCCGATCTACCTGAGTGACATGGGGGCAGCGCTGACGGGGGCCGAGTCGCACGAGCTGCAGGACATCCTGGAGGAGACAAATGTAAGGGCGAGTGACCGCGTGGCCTGGCTCAGGGGAGGCGTCCCCGGCGCTGGGGGCTCCCCCCTCCCCGGCCGGATTCCGTCCTGGGGGCACTCCTGGGGGCTCTTCTGGTGGTGGGCAGAGAGGAAGGTGAAAGCGAGACGGGCCATGTTGGCAGAAAGCGCTTCCTGCCAGCATGGAAGAGGCTTTTCAGCTTTCAGCTGGAAACTGGCCAAGTGATATAGGGAAGGGGTGAGCAGGAGAAGGGGACAAGGAACATGGGACCCTGGCCAGACCAGCCCCCTGGGCAGCCCCCGGTGGCGGTCTCCTGGTCCCGCATGCAGGGCAGGGCGAAAGAGGAACCGTGACGAGTTTGTTTCCTTTCGTCTTAGATTCCAAAGCGCCTCTACAAAGCGCTCTCGCTCCTCAAGAAGGAGTTCGAACTGAGCAAGCTGCAGCAGCGCCTCGGGCGAGAGGTGGGTCCTGGGGAAGGGCGAGCGGGCCCGCCAGGGTTTGCTGGCAGCTGCGGGTCAGGAGGTGGGGACAGGGCAGTGGGAGGCATGTGCCAGAGCGGCGGCGTTGTCCCGGGAGGTTTGGGCCCAGCCAGGTGGGTGCCTGTGGCCTCCTTCCATTTCTCTCGCTCTGATCCTTGGACCAGGTCTGGTGGCATCCCAGGGATCTTGGCCCTTTGGGCAGAAGCCGCTTTGCCTGAGCAGCTGGGGGGCATCTGCACGGCATCCGGCCGTCCCTCCAGCCCAGCTGGGTGCTTGCTCTTCCCCTCGAGGGGGCAGCCTGTGTGGGCTGGTCGTGATGCTGCCCACCCTCGGGGCTGTCAGTCTGCAGGTGGGGCGGGGAGCGGGGGCTGAACTCTGCCCTGGCCCCGTGCGAGGCCATCAGGTGCTGCTCCTGGCCAAGGAGGGCGGCAGGCACGCCCCTCAGGCTGAGCCCGCCGGGCTGGTCTCCTGCACGCCCGGATGCTCTTCCTGGATGCAGGGCAGGCGGCCCCCCAGCAGCGGTTTTCAAGTCTGCTCCTCCCCACCGCCTAGCAGGGAGCTCAGCTGCTGTCGCTGCTGAAGGCACCTTGGAAGTGCCTCTGCCAGAAATCACCCTTTTGCATTTTCGTTGAGAAGCGCAGGCCGAGCGTTGTGCGTTTGCCCTGTGTGGGGCGGGTTGGGGCCCACAAGGGGCTTTATCGCGTTCTCCCGCCGGCAGGTGGAGGAGAAGATCAAGCAGACCCACCGCAAGTACCTGCTGCAGGAGCAGCTCAAGATCATCAAGAAAGAGCTCGGCCTGGAGAAGGAAGACAAAGACGCCATCGAGGAGAAGTTCCGGGACCGCCTGCAGGAGCTCGTGGTGCCCAAGCACGTCATGGAGGTGATCGAGGAGGAGCTGAACAAGCTGGGCCTTCTGGACAACCACTCCTCCGAGTTCAAGTGAGTGGCGCCGCCCGGCTCCAGCCTCAGGGAAGGGCAGGCAGCGAGGGGCGTGGGGCTCCCCGAAGCGCCTTCCTCAGGCAGTTGCCTCCAGGTGTGCGGGGCGGCAGCTTCCCCGGTGGCCGTGCGAGTGGAAGCTGCAGGCTGGTGGTCTGCGGAACGCCACTCATGTCTTCGCCCTCAGGGAGGAAGGGCCCCTGCAGGGTCGTGCTCCGGAAAACCCATCGGGCTGTGCTGGCCTCCTCGCTTCTGACTCGGGCTCCACAGCGAGGCTTTGTTCCCGGATCCCGGGAGAGGGGGCTGGTCTCTCCGGGTGCGGCACAGCTGCAGGCCCCGCGAGGAGGCCAGGTCACGGCTTGGGAGCACTTCGTGGAAGCGATGTCGATTTCCGTGCGCAGAGCAAGATAACAGAGCGTTGCTGCTTCCATCCTGTCCATGTGTTGAAATAGCAAAGCAAACTTCCTGCAGTCATTTAACCATGAAAAGATACGTGGGGCAAGGGTGTGCAATACGTCAGCTCGATAAGGACGCTCAAACCGCAGGAGTTGGAATCGAAACCAAGAGTATGAAAGGGGTTTTTTAAAGCCCTTTTCCAGCTCGTAACGCTTGGAGTTCAGAGCATGCATTATAAGCTAATCGGAGTGATAAAAAGTCCCCGAGTTTCTATGGTGAAGCAAGAGGGCGTTTGGTGGCCCACGTGCCACTGCTAAGGCCATCTTGACTCACTGGCTGCAGCCTGCTGGGAGTTGCAGTCTGGCGTTTGCAGGGGCGGCTGCTCCGCCCTTTACACCAGAGTAGACACCGCAGAGAGCCGTGCTAATGGGGGTGGGCGCCTGCCCCGGGTTCCATGCTGTCTTTGCCGAGGGGCGATGCTGCGGGGAAGCCTGGGCCGCCCGGCTTCGTGGGCCTGGCGCTCACGGGTGGCTCTGCGGCTTTTACTCCCACCAGCGTCACACGCAACTACTTGGACTGGCTGACCTCCATCCCATGGGGCAAGTGCAGCGAGGAGAACCTGGACCTGTCCAGAGCCCAGGCCGTCCTGGAGGAGGACCACTACGGCATGGAGGACGTGAAGAAGAGGGTGCTGGTGAGGGCTGGGTGGCCCTGGGGCTCCCAGGGAGGCGCCTGAACAGACGTTGCCACCGTCGCTGATCGGCTTCCCCGGTCACGGGCCGGTGGATGAGGCCGGCGGCTCCTCACTGGCCTGAGGTTGCTCCACGCGGGAGCAGAGCTTTGGGGGCACTGCCACTCTCTGCGGCGTCTCGTGGGGGGAAATGCCCGTTCTAGAACAGTCTTTCCCTCGGCCACTGCCATCCACCACTTCCTGTCTTTGGCCCAGCTGGTTCCCCGCTTTAAGGGCCAGGTTGCCCCCTCCGGAGGGTTTGGTGTCTTGTAAGAGGCATCTCGGGGACAGCGCGTGCCCAGATGGGGCATGCTGGAAGCTGTGGGGTTTTTGCCCTCCAAAAGGTGCAGCTAGTGGGGTGTTTTGAACTCCACCTTCCGCCCCACACGCCAGTGGAGCCTGCCTTTCTCCCCAGAGTGCCTCAGAAGTGGAATTCAGCCCTCAGTCCGAAAGCGGCCCAACCCTCTGCTTGGGCTTAAACAGGGCAGGCCCCTTTCTGCCCCCGTCTGTCCTCTCTGCTTCTCCTGTGGACAAACGTGTCGCAGTTGCGTGCCCACGGCTGCCGCTCCCCAGCCCCCACGGCCTGTGTCCCGTTGCCAACCTGCCTTTCCGCCCCAGGAGTTCATCGCCGTCAGCCAGCTGCGGGGCTCCACCCAGGGCAAGATCCTCTGCTTCTACGGCCCCCCCGGCGTCGGCAAGACAAGCATCGCACGTTCCATAGCCCGCGCCCTCAACCGGGAGTACTTCCGCTTCAGTGTCGGTGGAATGACAGACGTGGCGGAAATCAAAGGGCACAGGTGTGTGTCTGGGGGCTATTCCCTCCTCCTCCTCCTCCATGAGGCCTCATCCTGCCCCCCAGACTGCAGTTGCAGCGGCACCTCTCCAGCAATTAGGTGACTTGCGACTATCCAGCAGGTGTGGAGCAAGAGTTTTGCTGAGCAAGACGCAACCTGAGAGCCGCCGTCCTCCCCACAGAAGCAGGGTGACAAAGGGCGGAGACGTGAAAGGGGACCTTGTCCGTGGTGGCCCCACTTTTGTAGAACTCTGTCCCAGGAGAGGTGCCGCCAGCCCCACTGGGACTGCCCTGAGCCATAAGACACGTTTTGCATGGATTAGACAAGTGCTTGGGCATCTTTCTCATTGGGCTGTTTATGTCTGTCTTATTTTAACGGTTAAAGTTCAAAAGAGTTATTTTAGGGTTTCTTTGTATTGTTGCTTGTTGTTGTTGCTAGTCGCAAATTCGCGTCTGACCCCATGGACAACGTTCCTCCAGGTCTTCCTGTCCTCCACCATCCCCCGGAGTCTGCCTAAGCTCACGCTGACTGCCCCGGTGACCCCGTCCAACCACCCTATCCTCTGCCGCCCCCTTCTCCTTTTGCCCTCCATCGTCCCCAGCATCAGGCTCTTCTCCAGGGAGTCCTTCTCATTCGGTGGCCAAAGTATCTGAGCTTCGTCTTCAGCATCTGGCCTTCTTAAGGAGCAGTCAGGGTTGATCTCCTCTAGGACTGACCGGTTTGATCGCCTTGCGGTCCAAGGGACTTGCAGAGTCTCCTCCAGCCCCACAATCCAAGGCCCTCAACCCTTTGGCGCTCAGCCTTCCTTATGGTCCAGCTTTCACAGCCATACATTGCAACTGGGAAAACCATCGCCTTGACTATACGCACTTTTCTTGGCAGGGTGATGTCTCTGCTTTTTAGTATGCTGTCTAGATTTGCCATAGCTTTCCTCCCCAGGAGCAAGCGTCTTTTAATTTCTTGGCTGCAGTCCCCAGCTGCGGTGATCTTGGAGCCCA